ATGTAAACACTCCTTTAAAGATTCTGCTAGACATTCTTCTACACAAGAGTATTGCAGTTTGCAACAATAAAACAGTTTTTTTTCTTGGAGCTTATGTTTCTTTTTCTCTTCTGAATCACTTTTTTTTTTTCTGTTTTTCTCCTTTGAGAGAAGCCACTTTTAAAATCACATCTTAAGCCTCCATAGATTCATGCACATTAGTGACCCTTGTTGTTTTTGTTTGATTAACCTCCTTGGGTTTAACCCGATTTACTGAAAGTAAACCAGGCACTTCAACTAAAATGAGGCCTTTCTCATATCATTGATTGGGGTATTTCATATATTCATTTCCAATATTCGGCTGAACCATTCCGCCCTTTTGTTTAGGCAACTTTGAATTGTGATCTTGTGGTCCGTCTTTTGAGATCATACTTGTTTTCTTAGGAGTAAAAGATTGTAGAAAAACATCATCAGTTTTATAAATAAGGAGAGTTGTTGTGCAAATTTATCCTGTTGCATATCATCAACATTAAGACCATTCTTATTTATACCAACTCTCTTAACAGCTGCTATGATATTGGTAGTGGGTGCCCAATTGTTTCACATTGTTCCTAGGATATTCATAATTCTCGATTTATTGTCTGGAAAGAGGAAAAGAGTTCATCTCCAGTAGTATCAGGCAGAGAAACAAATAAATTGATTTGTTTTTCACGCAAAAAATGAAAAACTTTAAAGACAAGCCTTGACGAATGACTATCTGATAGAAGCACGACTGGTTGCTCTATACCTTGTTCGGTGAGATCAAGTTTCTTGTACGCAGCCAATAATGAACAGTTATCTTGCAAACCACTCTCTTTTGTGGAGATGATCAAATTTTTGATGTTACCAACAGCTTTTTGTAATGCCATCTGGCTCATTATGCCTTTGCCAGCAAATATTACCTGAAACAATGAAACTACTCCTAAAAATATAAATATATATTTCACTTTTTAAAAATATAAAACTATAAAAGTCACAACTTTAGTTATGAAAAGTTGTTTAGTTGGCTCACTTGATAATGAAACAAATGGGTTTATATTTATGCTCTCTCTGTTTTCGCAAATCATTTTTTTATATGTCTCTCCTTTGCGAGCATAAACTAACCCAGTTGCAGTCCATCTTTTTTTCTTTTTTTTGAAACATCTTCGCTTCCAACAAGGCTGCAAGCAACCATTAATTAGTGTTGGGAGTTACTGGAAGAGAAAAGATAAAGATTGTAAAGCAAGATAACGATTGACAGACGACTTAAAAGATTGCAAATTATATGAATCAGGAAAGCAAGATGAAGGAAGCAAATTCCAAAGAGCTGATGTTCAAGGAAAAAAACTAGACGAATAAGATTTTTTGGTGCGCTTAGGAACAGTAACAGAAAAAAGGATAAGACTTAATTGAATGACGAATAACACGAGAATGAATTTTTGTAGATGGCACAAGAGGCTAGCTCTTTAGAGCAGTGCCCATTATAGTATTTGTAGAAAAGAGAAAGAGAAGCAACATTACGACGATGTGACAGACGTTGAAGGTTGGCTGCAAGAGTAGGTCCAACTATGTTTACAATGTGTTTTTGCACCTTGTCTAAAAGAGAAAGGACATCATTAGAAGATCCACACCAGATATAACAACAGTATTCCATACAAGGCCGGATTTGAGATTTATAGAGATAGAGAATAGAATTCAGAGTAAAAAAGTGACAAGCTCGATAAAGAGAAGCAACTTTAGCAGATGGTAATTTTGCAACGGATTTGATATAAGGTTTCCAAGAAAGATCAGAAGTAAGAGTTAATCCTAGAAGATGAAGGGTAGAAGACTCATCGAGTGCATAACCATTCATAAATATAGGAAGGTCTAAACTATTGCGATAACAATTGCAAAAAAATTAAGTTTTATCTGAATTAAAGTTCACCAGCCACTCACCAGCACTAAATTAAAGTTCACCATCTACACCATAATTGACAAACTGTTGTGTTTCATCATAATTGAAAACTCTTTCTGTTGCAATATCATACACCCATACACCATTTTTTGTTTTTTTATAGTTCTTTATTATACTACAAGCAATCAGTTCATCAGCTAAGGCATCTGAATTAAAAAAAGTTATAAAATTAATAATATAATCAAGTTATATAAATTATCAATGTACAAAACATATAAACTTATTCAAGAATAAAAACCAAGTTGTAGATAACTTAAGAAAAAAATTGAAAATAGATCTTTTTATATTCAGGCTAAACTAAAAAAGCAATGTGTGATAAAAATGTGTAGCTAGATGATCTGTAGCCATCTTTTTAGTACTATTTATACTAGATGATCTGCCATCAAAAAAAATGTGCAATGTTCATTTTAACTCAGCCTTGCCTCTTAATGATAACATCATCATGTTCAGCCATCTCCAAAATGGTTTCGCAAGTCTAAATAATTAGGATAATAAGGTTCACTATTTTACATCTATTTTATATCTACTGTACCCTCGTATCTGTTGGGATGATGATCAATTAGTTTAAAGAAAAACTAACCTTCCATTTTGTAGGGCTGTTTTTGCACTGGTGGTAGTATAACTTTCTTCCACCTTTTCCATTTTTGTTTAAATGATCTCTGATTTTCATTAAAATAATATCAGAAACTTCTTTCTTAGAGAGTCCCTGGTGGGCTCTGTTTTTGTCTCTGATAAAACAAACTATTTTCTTTTCATCATCTGGATGTAACACTCTCAAATGTTTCTTTTTTACATTCTTAACTTTACCATCTAACCTCCTGTCTTGTACCACTATCTTTAGTTAAAAGAAACTTTCCTGTTTTTAATGCTGTCTGTCCTCGTTGTTATTTTCTGTGCACCAATCTACTGATTCTGATATTTGATTTTCTTTAGATCTTATGTCCTTTCTACAAACTGGCTTTGTCTTTGTTCTAATTCTTTTTCTACCAGCAGAAATCTTAAAATTAAACTGCAGTTTTCCCAAACTATTATTTTATTTAAACACTAAAAATAAAGTATATACATACTTGATTAGAGATTATGAGCACAAACTGAACTGAAATAAAATATGCTTGTGGAAGCATATTTTACCGAATGCAATGTAGTATTTAAGGAGAACATCATGTAGTTTTAAGGGACTTTACAGGTAAAATGCTATTTTTTGTTGGACTTAGTTAGCAAACCTCCTTATATATCAGAAATTTTCGTAGTATATCATACTACGATAATTTCTGATATAATAACAAAAAATTTAGAACTTTCAGAAATTTTTTAATCCATATAAATACAATTACGTTCCTTGTAGTTTTTAAGGATAATCTTTGAAAAAATCAAAAAATTCATTCTCCTAATTCTCACTAAATATGGCAAAAAAAAAGGAAAAAAAAAAAGGATAATGACTTCCAGGGAAGAAAAACCCAATAATAGGTATTTTCAAATTACAAAAAAAGTTTAAATAGTTGACCTGTAACGGATGTATTCCATTTTAAAAATTTGTGTAGTTTTAAAGCGAATTATACTTGTAGAGTAAATAGTCATCAGCACAAATAGAGGTACTTTTGAGAATGTCATGAGGGTTTTTAAAATAAATGAGGAACAACAGGGGATCAAGAATGAAACGTACTACTGTCAAATGTTATTGAAAATGAAGAAGTGTTGTCAAGGTCAACTTTAATATTGTGGTTAGAAAGTTTTATATAAATTGAAAAACTTTCTTTCAGATAAACAATATGAAAGGAGCTCATAGAGATCAAGGAGCATCCTAGGCTTTATTGAAAACTTTTGTCAACATCAATAGCACTTGCCTTAACATCTAATGTACAATTGTTTTTGTCATCATGATTATTAAATCAGTTGAAATTCGTATAGATTCTTTGAGTAAATTGTTGGAGATATTAAAAGTATGTCAATTAAAGACTTTTAAAGAGACTTGTTTTGCTAGAATTAAAAGGGTTAGAGGGGGATTTGCAAATCGAAAGACACTTGAATAGTTAAGATAGCAATTAAGAAAGGTCTGAAGAACACTTATGCAAGACTGTGACAAGAATGTTGACTTGACCACAAGCTGTAGAAAAGTTTATGAGAAAATTAACTTCAGCAACAGAAGCTGGAGTGATATGGATGTCTTGACAACGAAATAACCCTGTTTTGCTGATATCTCAGTTGAATTGTGATCAATAGATTAAAAAAGTAAATTAAAGGTTAAGTTCTTTACTATAAGTTCTGGTTTAACATCAGAAAAAATATAACTAGACTTATGTATGAGAGATGAAATGTTAGAAATGTTATTGCCTAACATATATGTATGTTGCTTTGACAACGCACACCAAAAACACTAACAGGTAGAGTTGTACATCGTTAGATAATATTGAACATAAGGTAACAATAATTATTTATTTATAAATCGTTATTAGTTCTCAAGAGGTTTTGATACATGTTCCTGTAATACAACACAAAGCACAAACATTATTATTTACACTCACACCCTTAATTGTTTAATAATTGCTTAACAAATGAATAAAGTTATTTAAATAAAAATTTTAAATAGTAGTTTAAGTAAAAAATTATAATTAGAAATTCTGTAGGTCTACTATAAACTTAAGACACATTTTCCTGTCTTTATAAAAAACAAAAATGTCTGCTGCCTTAATAAAAAATTGGCATTTTTTATAAAGTCAGTAATAAATAGATATATCATTTACAAATAAAGCCATGAAATTTGTTGAGGAAAATAAAAAAAATTAGATCCAATGTTTTTTAATGCAGTTTTCTGGATAGTTAAAATAACTCAAAACACTGTTATATGATTGTGTCCAATAGTCCAAGATTAGATCTGAGATTTTTTTTATTCCAAATAAAATAATAGACTAAAATTATAACATATAGCAAAATAAATTTTCTATATAGTTTTATCTAATAATGCTATAAATAATTTTGTTAAAGCTATTTTGTTCCTAAATTTTTTAAACTGAAAGTGGATAATAATTTCTTTGTAAACTGTTGTTTTTAGATATGGCAAAGTTAATTGACGCCGTTTATAAATTGGCAAAACACACTCGCGCTGTTCGTACATCCGTATGGTGCGCTATGCAAATGTTTTATGGCAACGATAAAACTGACACAAACGAGTGAAATAAAGCAAGTGAGAATTCTTTAGAATTCTGCGCCCACTATGAATCGTGAATATCCAGTTGGTTTCTTAATTGCTCGCCTAATGTATTATCAAGTGTGTTCCCTGTAATAAAATAGCATGGTTTCTAACCATTGATAGTTTTTTATAAACTCGTATGGTTATCTTCATGGTTTGGCTTATATGGATGCAATTTATAAAAGTTTCAAAAAGACACTTTGAAAAAAGTGGTTCAGATTTTCGAAGACTTTAATCAAATGATCTGCGTACCTTATGTACCATTACAATTGTGTAATAAATTTTTTATTCTGTCATTGTCACAAATTAATTGAATTTATTTGCGAAATAAAATTTATTGTTTAATAAATTGTATATATTAAATAAATAAATTGTTATTATCCAACTTGTGTTTTGCTTAATTTGTATTTTAATTAATTATTATATATCGATTATTTATATTGTCATTAATTTATTGATTATTTAAGATATTTATATTAGAGATGATACATTAATGTAGTCCTTGGTAAAATGGGGAGTGTTTCCTAAGTACAAAATGTTTTTAGATGGTGAACGTAGGTAGGGAACTCTAAGGTCTAGAAACGTAAGTAACATGTAGGTCATAGCGTAAGAACAACCGGAAATATCCATTAAAGTTTTATAAAATTTTAAGAAATATCCATTAAAATTAATGACTGAAAATGTTGGGCGTTAATAGAAACGAGTCGTACTTAGTTTCCAAACATTTTCAGTCATTGACTTTAATGGATATTTCAGGTTGTGTACGTACACAAAGTCCTTGGGTCCAGTGAATAGTTTATTTTTTTACTTTTTAGTCCAATTTTAAAATGTAGTTATCAAAAAATTTATATATATATATTTTTTATTATTCAACTGCGATTTGATTTATTTACGCCTGACTAAAACGCATTAAGTTTGTTGTTAATTGTTTGTTTTTTTTTTATTACTTTTTTTACTCTTAACGATTTCTTTTATTATTACCGCTGACCTCGCGTTTGTTTTGCGCGGACACCAAAAAAATAAATAAATAAATAAACCGACAAGAAAGCAAGTTAAATAAGATGTAAAAAAATAGTAACAGTTAAAAAGATAACTTTTTTTTTTTTTTGATATAAACAAAATAAGTATAATAAGACTGTTGAGTAAATAGATCGAATGATTGATTGCGAATATATTTATGAATAGAAATGTTTTAAATTGTATTTTTTATATTAAGAAAAAAAAGGAAAAATCATATGTTTTTACAATCTAATTTTAGAGAATACTCGATTTTTAAAGCAGGTAATATCTAAAAACACAGAGGTATACCCCGTGTACAAACACGATACGCACGGCAACAAACACGACACGATAGTTTTTTATTTATGTTTATTTTTATTTACTAATTTTGTTTTCTACAGAAAAATTAATTAAAAAAAAAAAAAGTCATCATTTTATTTATTTTTTATATTAGTTTTATGTCGTAATAATATAGTTAGAACTATATAGAAGTAAGATTCAATTTATCACCAATTTTAGTTTTAACTAACAAACTTTCCCTCGTCAGTTAACCAATCAATTTTTATAACCTGTATCAGCGTCTTCATTAAAGACACCAAAATATCTAATCCACAGCTAGTTCATTGAAATGTATTAACAGCTTAAGAATTAATCTCGTATCTATCATTTAAATTAATTCCTAAGGTTTTGTTTTATTTTTTTTTCTGGTGAAGCATCAAATTATACAGTTGACTCTCAATATTTCGACTTGATATCTCGAACTTTTGTGTATCTCAAACTTTATTTCCAGTCCCTTGTGCACTCGTTTGAGCTCATTCCCGGTCCCTTGAGAGATGTCAAGAGTCAACTGTATTAAAATAATAAAAAAAATTTAACAATACAACTTTTTGATCGCTTTAACATTACAACTGTTTGATTGAAGAAATATTGGAAATGTTATTTTGAAGACTAAAACAAAAAACACTAATTTATAATGCCTGAGGTTAGCAGGATTTTTTTTTTTTTGAGGTATGGCATTTTTAAGCATGTTTTTGAGTAAGCTCATGCTTATATTATATATATAAATATATATATGTATATATATATATATCAGAGATTATCTTTTTCCGGATATTTCCGAAATTCCGGATATTTTCCTTAACTTTTAGTTTTTCAAGATATCCAAAACGTTTTCCATACACACAAGTTAAGGTATATATTTTTGTAATATACTTCTTTTTTAACCTTTTTCACTCATCACTCATACAAAACTAAGAAAAGTTTGAAAAAAATTAGAAACATTTCAGCTAAAAGCAAAATTAAGAAGAAAACATACTCCAGATTTTTTCCGTATATTTTACTAAAATAATTTTCCGGATTTTTAAAATATGGTCTGGATGATCTATAATATATATATATATATATATATATATATATATATATATATATATATATATATATATATATATATATATATATATATATATATATATATATATATATATATATATATATATATATATATATATATACATTAGGGTGGGTTGTACTTTTAAAATTTTGGATATGGGAGCGCGCGCAATATTTTATTTTATGTATTAGGATATTAGAAGAGACGTGAATATTTTTTTTTTTCTTTAAAAATTTGAAAAATGTCAGATTTACGAAAAACTCATCATATTAGCATTTATTGACCTTTTTTATATTAGCCAAAGGTAAGGCAATTATCAAAAACAATCAGACAAAATATAGACATAAATGTAAAACACGTGAATAATTTTTAGAAAAGACGTGAATAATTTCTTAAAAAGTTTGTTTTGTGAGGGCGCAGGACGTTTAAAAAATGACAGTTTTACTAAAAAAGCATCAAATTAGCACTTTTCTGCCCTTTTTTCATATGCCTATGATGATGCAATTATCAAAAAACATCTAGGCAAAATACAGACATTAAAATTAAACATAATTTTGGGTGCTACTCTTCATAAAGTCATACAAAAACGTTTACATAGGTAACCATAGGTTACCGTGTTTGCTTAAGGATATTAGAAATGGAAAAAAAATTATTTGCTCTATAGATAATAAATTACACTTAAACTTTACATTTACACACACTTTGCATTTACACCACATTTCTGTAAAACAAATAACATTAAATTCATGTTTTATTTCACTCAACAACAATTTTAAATTTCCAAAATTTTTACTTAGACTTCGGGTGTTAATACTTAATATTGTAAATGCGTTTTTATTCATTCTGTGGTGCGCATTGGCAAACTGAGTAGTATTTACTTTAAAAATTCAATATATCACATTGGCAAACTGAGTAGTATTCAATATGCATATTTATTCTATATATAAATATAGTATTCCATATGAATATTATTCAATAATGTTCAATATCATTATTCAATATGCACATTGGCAAACTGAGTAATATTTACTTTCAAAATTCAATATGTCAATACAGTCTGTTTCGATTTCATTATCACTATATTTTTTCACAAGAAAATTGAAATTTAGAGTTTTCCGTCATTTTTAAAAATAATTTTTTTTTCAAAGAACCGGAGTGTATTCGAAAACCTGTTGAGTCTCCATCATCCAATTTAACTTATAATCAAAAAAGAACTTATTTTACTTGAGAATGCTGAATGCTTTATAAAATGTCAAGTATTCCACTCATTCAATTTTTTTTTGAGTTCTACAAACTTTTAATCAAATAGTTGTCATAGGTTTGAGATTAAAAATAAGTTAGCAGTTAGTTCAATAAAAACTGCAATTGCGAATACGCTGTTCAATCTTATTTTCATCGAATTTTCTGTACATAATTAAAACTTGTGTGAAAACTTGGTGAATATCTAATATTTGGGAACAAAGGCTTGCATCAGTGTATGCATTCGTGACAACTGTTATAACGTTATTTAACATAGCTTCATATGACAAATAAATGGTGAGCTTAAGAAAATCTTTGGAAAAATGTCTGATAGCACGTTTTATTCGCTTAGAAAGCATAGATTATTTTTCAGTAGTAATATTTGTAAAATTTTAAATAAAATTTTATTTAGATTCTAATAAGTCTTGAAAACGTGTTTTTGGAATGTTTTTGGAATTTGGAATTCATTTACTTACGGAGCCAACAATTACTAAAAATTCACCAAGTTTCACCTCTGAAATGGCAACCTCCGAATATCTAAAAGAAGTTTTAAATAGTAATCTAAAAAAACCAGTCTTTTTGCGCTATAATACTTTGGAAAGAATAAGAAAAGAAAGCAACATTGAAATCAAAACCCGATTTGACAAAAATAGCAAACATACTTCTCACACCACCACCAATATTTAACAAAAATGAAAGGTTGTTAGGCCAAGTAAAACGCGATTATTTTTTAAACTACTCTAATGGGCTAAAAAGAGTTTTAAACTTGCCTATTCTCGGCCTGAAGTTACGTTACCAAACGATATAAATAAAACAATTTAAAGAGATTTAACTTTTTTTTAAATCTCGTTATCCGAATAAATAAGCCAGGTTAAAGCACTTGATTTTGTGCTTTAAACTCAATTCAAAATTTCGTTACCAAAAACAAAACTAATAGTTACTTACATAATTTCTCAAACATAAAAGCGAGTTAAACAAGAAAGATACGCATGACACGGGGGTAAAGCACGTTCTATACATTTATTACCAATTATTAAATTTCGCTACTTACACACAAATAAATACAAAAAAGATAAAGAACTAATTATTTTAAATCTGAATACCTATTTGATTATCTAAACATTATTTAGTGAAAAAGATTTTAGTCAATACGCCGAATGATTTCAACTCGAAACCCATCCCTATTTTTTAAACAGCCATGTTTACAAATGTGGGAGTTTAAAAACTGTTTAAAATTGGATGCCCAACTAATCTCAACATTGCAAAAAAATATTTGAAAGCAAATTTAAAAAAATAAGGGGAACTTAAGCGTTAAGTTTATAATTACCTTGATAACGTTTTTATAGAAGAACTGTGCTAAGCAAATAAGTTTATCAAAGATAAACCCCCGGCTTCATTTTTATTTGCTAGATTATTTGCACTATATTCATTATATTATGTTTCTTAAAGAAATATGTTCACTTTCTATAAAGGTTTTAAAAGCATTTCAGCTGAAATTAAAAAATGGTTCAATTTAAACATGGAATTTGCGATTGTTTTAGCGACTGCTCGTTATGTCTCATAACGTACTTTTTACCTTGTATAACTGCGGGTAAAAACGCCGAACATGTTGACAAAAGCTGTTGTTTGTACGGATTTTTAGGAGTAACTTGTGTTGGTGCAATAACTCGAGCAATAGTTCGTTCAGACATTCGCCAAAAACACCAAATTGAGGTATATTTATAATTATATTTTTATTAGTTCTTATGCTACATGGCCATCCAATCAAATCACTCTAATAATTTTTATTTTATGAATTCGAAACTTGTTATAACATATCTGTTATAATTTTATACTTTTATTGTAGTTGTAAATAATTTTTTATTAGGGATCTTGTTGTGAAGATTTTATATGTCATTTGTTTTGCCCAATTTGTGCTCTAGTACAGGAATCGAAGGTATGCTGTTTTGTATATTATAACAATAACTTAATCATATAATCATTAAATTATTGTATGGAATTTTATAATGAAGTATAATATATATATATAGAAAAATAAATAATATATTATGTTGCACAGTAAATCTATATATAAAATATTATGTTTTATAATAAAACAGTATAATATATTATTTCATATTTAAAATTTTAAAAAGTTCATATTTACTATAATATAGTTTCTTAAAACGAAAAATAGTCTTTCAACTAAATTTTCATTCAAATATTTTCTTTAGGAAATTCAATCTAATGGTGGACCAGGTCCATTATCAATGGCTAGAGAATGATTATCCCTGTCCAATATATATGTTTGAAAAAAATGTTTTATTAGTAATGGTAATCTAAAATTGCTGCTAAATATTGCTATTGTATTATTGTTTTACGTATTCAAAATAAATTTTCAAAGTACAATCTTTTGAAAAATATATATATTTTTTTTTTTATAAAAAGCATTTGCCTACTAATGTAGAAACCAAAATAACTTATTTTAATAAAATTGAACTTTTATTTTTGTTTTTTATAAAGTCAACAGTAAAAAAGTGTTATAGTTAAAATAAAAAAATGTAATGTATACTTAAAAAAATGTAATGATTACTCTAAACAAACAAAAAAACTTTTTTATATCAAAAAGAAATTTAGTTGTTTGTTTGTTTTCAAAAAGTGTTTTTAAAAAGTCTATCAAAAGATATAACAATTTTAAACAATGTTCTTAAGTATTATTTTACAATACAAAAAAACATTAAATAATAATTTTTTTTTTTCGCTCTTTATTATTAAGAAATCTTGTATTTTTAAGAAAAAAAATTCATAGAATTTTTATTTTGGGTTATTTGTCAAGCCCATAGCTAAAAAAAACCCGTTAAAAGTCACCAGTTAAAAATACTTATTTAAAAGACACCAGTTACAAAATCATTTATATCAAGTTTTTTTATTATTGTACTACCAATTCTAAATAAGTTTTAATCTTCTGAGCTCCATTCATTGTAGGGTTCCTTCTAAATTACCACAACACTTAACAAAACGTTGTTTCGGTATTGCTGTTGCAACTTTTCTGTTGTGACAACAATATCGGAACAGATACAGGAACATTATGGGGACTCGGTGTTGAACCGTCGCGTCCATGAATTAATAAACAAAACGTATTGTTTTATAGCTTTCTTCTAACCTCACTCCTCCTATACAAAATCGCCTCTATATATATAATAACAAAAAGTCCCATGAGAATACTTTTAATTACAACTGAAATAGCGCGTGACTTTCAACGCGTATCTACGTGTTTCTAACATGTATAATTCACCAACTTAAAATTAGAACACTTGGTGAATTAACTTATACGTCTAATCTTTGTGGTAACTATGTTTGTGCTAGTGGTTTACCTTGTATTTACAAATGGTATTACCAGTTACAGGCACTTTATTACAGTTCCATGATGCCGTCCACTTTTTCCCGTCAAACTCTGCTGCGAAATCCTGAATTTTTATTTCGTTTCGTTTGTTTTTTTCACTTGTATTTTTAACATCACATTTTATTCCTTTTTTTTTTTTTTATTATTTTTTTTTTTTTTCGTCATTTGACACATTTTACAATGTTAACCTTACATTCAAATAAATTTATACAAATGCAAGCTGACTGGGGCAAGTAGAAGACAAAATGTCTTATCATCAAGCCCCTTCGTGAAAATAAATTTAAAAAAAATTAAATTTTTTCATATTTTCGTCAAGAACCGAGTTCCACAAGCGTGGTCCCCGACATGTAATTGAGAAGCCAGACTTTTTGAGTAATGTTAGTGGGATGTAGTAATTATTTATTGAGTGTCTTGTTTTATATTTATGATTAATAAGAGAGAAGTTTTTATAAAAATATTTTGGAATTAATTCGTTTTGAAGTTTAAACATAAATAACAAGTTTTGGTAGATGTTTAATTTGTATACATTTAGGGCATTTATTTCCTTGAGTAACGGCTCGGCACTTTCGTATCTATCCATGCCCGAAACTAATCGACTTGCTTGCTTTTGTTTTGTGTAAATAGTTTTTAGGAAAGATGAGTGATTGTTTGCCCAGGCAATATTACAATAGTTAATATGACTATGTATAAACGAAAAATATAAATTTTTTAAACATATTTTGTTCAAAAGAGGTTTAGTCTTATACATTATCCCTAAAGTCTTTGAGACTTTGTTCTCGACTAGCTTTATTTGGCTTTTCCAATTTAAATGTTCGTCAAAAATTATTCCAAGTATTTTCATTGAAAACACTCTTTTTATTTTAATATTGTTAATAGTTAGTTCTGGTAGTGTAAGTGGAAGATTCTCGGATGTAGATGGTTTAGCAAACAAAATATATTTTGTTTTTTCAATATTCAACGAAAGTTTATTTGCTATAAACCACTCATTGAGATATGTTAGTTCAGTGTTTACATAACAAAAAATATTTTTTAAATTTAAATCAGAATAGAAAACATTAGTGTCGTCAGCAAAAATAATATAATTAAGTATTTTTGATGACAACTAAATATCATTAATATAAATTAAAAACAGTAAAGGTCCAAGTATTGATCCTTGTGGAACTCCACAACTTATTGACTCAAATGAAGAGCATGTTAAATCAAATGGTACTACTTGTTTACGATTTTCTAAATAACATTGCAGCCACTTTAAGTTAGAATGAGCTACTCCGTAATTACATAGTTTGTTGATAAGAATCTTGTAGTTGACAGTATCAAAGGCTTTGGATAGATCTAGAAATATTCCGAGAGTGTAACTATTGTTTTCAAAACCATTTAGAATTTGGTTCGCAAGATCAATTACTGCATGCTCCGTGGTATGGTTTTTGCAAAAACCAAACTATTTATGATAAAGAATGTTATTAGTTTCAAGATAATTGTACAGGCTGTTGTCCATAATACGCTCTAGTATTTTAAAAAAACAGGAAAGTACGGAAATTGGTCTATAGTTAAATTTTATCGAATCATCGCTAGTTTTAGTTGGTCAGGAAAAATGCCGTTTCTTAGAGAAAGATTAAAAATTATAAAAAGAGATTTCTCAATAATATCAGAGACCGCTTTTACAACATCGGGGTTAATTTCATCTAGACCCGCACTCTTATTTGTTTTCAACATACTAATTGCTAGCCGAAGTTTATCAACCAGAAGCTCCGACTCATCCATTATGGAATCTGATTTTTTCAAAAAGGATTCAAATGATTTACTCCCCTCAGGAATTGCACTGGCTAGTTTTTTCCCTATATTTATAAAAAAGTCATTAAATGTTTCTGTAATTTCTTTATTTACAAAAGCATCTCCTATATTACCATCTCTTTGCAATCTTTTTGGGAAATTATCAATTTTTACTTTTCGTACGCCTGTTATTTCTCTAATTACATTCCATGTTTTTCTTGCATTTCCAAATGTTTTATTAAGCCATAAGAAATAGTAATTTTTTTTTGATAGCTTTTTTAACTTTTCGAAAGAACTTTTATATTTTTTGTATTTTATTTCATTTTTGTAGTTCTTTTTTTTTAAAAATTTTTGGTAAAGTTTTTGTTTCTTTTTGGATGACTTAATGAGTCCTTTCGTCATCCACGGACTAAGCAAATTTTTAGAATTAATAATTTTTTTAACTCTTAGAAAGGCTTTTTCGTATTGCGTAGTAAACACGCGAATAAAAAAATCATAGCCATTATTTACATCATTGCAATCAGTCAATAGTTCCCAGTTTATTTCTTGTAGGAGGTCGCGAAAAGTGACGATTGATTCATTATTTATGTTTCTTACATAAATAGTTTTTGTTTCTATTTTTTTCTCAGGGGTTGCCGAATCTGTGATCAGAAAAACTAGAAAATGATCAGTGATATCTGTTTTAATAATACCACTTTGCATTTTAGCCCTTGTGTAATTATTAGTAATAATATTATCGATAATGGATGCAGTTGTTTTAGTCACGCGTGTTGGCTTGTTGATTATGGGAAAAACGCTCTATTGCAAAAGTGTATTTATAAAACGCGCAACGTGGTTATCTGTTTTATTATTCAGAAAATTAAAATTAAAATCACCCAGTAAATACACGTGTTTTTTTTTATGAGCTTTGGTAGTAAGTAATTTATGTGGTTTTCAAACTGATTGTAATTACCATTAGGCGGTCTATATAATACTGTTATAAATGTATTTTTAATTGCTTTATTAACTATTTCAATAGTAAATAACTCACAATCAGCGTCATTTATTTTGAGGTTATCTACATGCTTAAAGGTCAATGAGTTTTGGACAAAAATAGATACGCCCCCGCCAATGCCGTTTCTCTCGGTTGATGGATGGATTTATATCCTGATAATTGAAAGTTAAGGCGAGTTTCCACTCATCCGTTTTTCTACGGGAACGGGATAGGAAAGGAAAAAATAATCACGTGAGCATGCGTAATAAAAGTTTTTATTTGTCCGAAAGAAAACAGCGCATGCTCACGTGATTATTTTTCCGTTCCCTTTCCCTTTCCCGTAGAAAAACGGATGAGTGGAAACTCACCTTTAGAATTAATCGTGTCTCAATGACACCAAGTTTCTGTCAGACAGATAATACTGAACTTGTTTTTTATATTATTTAACATTAATTTTAAATTTTCAAAGTTTTTACTTATGCTTCTGATGTTTAAATGTAATAATGAAAAATTAGATGATGAAGAATTAAAAACATCTTTAACATCGCCAATAAGCCGTTTCTACTAAAATTTCATCAAAAAAGTTATTGTTTTTATCATCGTCATTAATTCGGTTAAGTGAATTTTTCCTTCCTGGTATGTCAAAAACAATATTATTGATAGCTTCCGCCATTTTAGCAATATTAACTAAGATTAATATTTAAAATACAAAATATAAAAAATATATAAGCTTTAGGCTTTTTTAAGTGATTTTTTAAAATCTTTAACTACTAATTTATCATAAATAACGACAGAATACTTACCAATTGTCCTGTGAGTTCGTATTTCTTCAAAAAGAGTTCGTATGTTTAGGGTATTCAAAGAATAATCTTCGTTTATAAATATTCCTGTTCGTTTTAATTTTTTCAAGTTTTTTAATATGTTAACTTTATCTTTGTAGTTCAGAAGTTTTATCACGATTGATCTAGGTTTACTTTGCCCAGTTTTTCCGGTTCTATGTGCCCTTTCAATAACCACGCCACTTACATTTAGTTTGTTTTCAAAGATACTTAAAACCTTTTCTTCAGATTCATTCCAACTTTCAGATTCGCTCTCCGTTATTCCTTCAAGGCGCAAATTATTTTTTCTCAGCACGGTCGTTCAAACTCACTAAATAAACGACAAGTTATTGTACGCAAGCGCAGTTAGATAATAAAAATTTTAAGACTTTCAAGATGGCTTCGGGCCTTAGCTACAAAGTTAATTTTTAGTTGACGACCAATTTTTTTATTACTTACTGCGTTTTTTATCATTTTATACGAAAAAACCAGTCGTTTGGCTATCAGTAGTGTTTTGGTAATTTAGTTTTTACTTTCTAGTAAGAAAAATAAAAGGAGAACATTATTTTATGAATGATGCAGTTTTACTTAGAAAATTTTTTTTCTTCGATTTGCTTATAAATTTATAAGTGTTTTTTTTTTTTTTTTTGAGCGGTGAAACTTAAAACTTTTTATAATTTTGTTTATATGAATCTTATATCTATTTATTATTAATAAATAATCTTAGCACTCAATTTTTTTTCTTGTTCAAAATTTACATCAAAGATTTGTGATAAATTGACACCATTTTAGTTAATGAAAATTGTCCTTACGTAAAAAAGTTAACAAAGTTTTTATATTTTAATTTTAAACTAAGTCTTTTATTTTGTATGCAGTTTATTATTTTTTCGTTAATTTAATTTAGTTTTTGAATATTTCCACTATTTAATAGATAAAGTTAAAGCTGTTATTCAGTACACTTGTCTAAAAACTTGTCTTTTTCTTAGATGGAGATCCATAACAAGAATTTGACTCTTCTTTGTAGGGTCTGTGGATTTTTGGTTGGTAAAAAAAGTTACCCTATTGGAACAAACCAAAAAAATAAAATTGAAAAGGTTTTCCATGTTATGCTATCAGATGAGCAAGAAAATGTTCATCCAAATAAAATTTGCCATAAATGTTATAATACCATTAACAATGTTATCAAAAGAATGACATCAACAACACTTCATTTAAGTATAAACTGGAAACCTCATTGTGATGAATGCTTTTGCTGTCAACAGGTAGAAAAACTCTGTAAAGGTCTAAATGTTGCAAAATTACTTAAACAAAATAAAAAGCTTATTGGTCGCCCTGGTATTGGTGAAAAAGTCTGGTCATTTTCGATGATTGCTAACATTAAAAAAAGCATTGTGACAACACATGACTCAGAAATAGATATTGAAGAATTAAAAAATGAATTTAATCCTCATTTACAACTTTGTCAGTGTAATTTATGTGGTAAAATACCAAAACGACCAGTAACTCTAAAAAAATGTGAACACTTATTTTGTTTTTTCTGCATAGTGGAAAATATAAAAGTAAAAAAACTCAATGAAACATCATGTCCAAAATGTAAAGAGCTCATTTTACCTGAAGATTTAGTGACAAGTGTAAAAACAAATTCTCTTTTAAATATGTTAACTGTTGAGTGTATATGTAAAAAAAAATTCAATGTAATGAAAGAATATGATTTATATACTAATCATAAGAGTGTCTGCATTGATAAATCAATAGTACAAGCAGCCCCATTGTTATCACCATCAATATCTTCATTTGCTTCTAACTTGGCTTCATCATCATCTTTTACAGTATCAACATCATCATCAACATCTTATTTATTTAACAACAACATTTCTGAGATTTTCAATCTCACAGTGGATAATGATATTCCAAGAATAGTTGAAGATGCTGCACTCCATGTTCTTAAGCAAAAGATGGCTAAAGATGGTGGACAAGTAGTTGAGTTTAAAAGTGGAGGATCTAGAGTAATGATATTTTTTAATTTTAGCTTAATTTGTAATAACTATAAATTAAATAGGTCTTACTTTTCAAAGATCTTTCTTTTTAGCCAGTTTTGTTTTCGCTTACTCCAAAAGCATATGTTAGCAGTAACCAAGCATCAAATACAACTATAAGAGTCAGAAATGCTTCTATCAAAAGACACATGAAAGTTATTTCTGGTACATCCAATGATGCAGTTTGTTGCCAAACATCGAAGCTGATAAATTCATTTCAAGCAGAGACAAAGGGGTTAATATTAGATAACCTAAATACTGAAAGAGTAGTAATTAGTGCAACCAACATGGTAGCAATGAAAGCAGATCTGTGCATACCTTGGGAAAAGCTTAAAACAATATCCAAGTTTTTATTTTTTTATATGAATTTTATTATATACTAGTTTTTTGTTGCATGAAATATAACTTTTTATGTTTGTTTAAAGGTGGCTGAAAAGCTTTAATATAAATACAGCATCACATTCTTCACAAAGAATAGTTGCTGAAAAGTTATCTGGTGATGACCTAGTTGTAGAAAATGCACCATTTACCTTTGAAAAGGAAGAAAAAGGAACATTCGAAATAAAATATGTATCTTGGGGCTATATTGAAAATTTACCAATGCATATTTTAAGACATCTTGATCAATTAGAAAGGTAGTTTTAAACCATCAATTAACAATTCTTTTAAAAGCATAATTTATAAAGCAAATTGAAATCTTTTGTGCTTATTTGTTATTATTTAAAATGAGGCTATTGTCTATAAAATCAGTTTATTATTTTATAATATATTCAATTACTTAATAATGTATTGTTTTTATGTAGTTGTAAAAGACTTCATCACCATGAATTTATTCCTGAGAAAGAGATACAAATTAAAATAGGAGGTGATTATGGTGGAGGGAGTTTTAAAATGACATACCAGGTTGCAAATACCTTAAACCCAAATAGCAAAGACAACACCATAGTTTTTAGCATTTTTGAGGCAAAAGATTACAGAGTCAATGTCAAAGTAGCCATGTCAAGGTTTGAAAAGCAAATAGAAGATCTTCAAAAAATGAAGTATAAGTAAGTTAATAAAACTGTTTTTCTATTAACTGTTTTTTTTTTATTTATAGCTGAATTTTTAAATATTTTAATTAGTTTTGATAATTTATTTTGGTAAACTATACTTTAATAAAAATATAATACATTACAAATGTTATCTTAATTAAATTTATGCTAAACATTTTAACACACCTCTACAGGGATAACAATATTAGAGTATTTGTTTTTGGCGATTATCAGTTTCTATGTGCCCTCTATGGAATATCAGGAGCATCAGGTGATTTTCTATTTTTATTTTTATCTCTATAAATGACAAATTATCAGCAGTTTTATAGTTTTTACTACTTAAACAGAAATATATTAATTAAAAAAAAAAAAAAATGGTTGGCACTTTTTTGCTGAAAGAAAAACCACAATATTGTATTAATATTTACATAAAGTATTACAAATTATATATATATATATTCATATATATATATATATATATATATATATATATATATATATATATATATATATATATATATATTATATATATATATATATATATATATATATATATATTTATATATATATATGTGATATATATATTATATATATATATTTATATATATATATATTTATATATATATATATATATATTATATATATATATATATATATATATATATATATATTATATATATATATATATATATTATATATATATATATATTTATATATATATATATATATATATATATATATATATATATATATATATATATATATATATATATATATATATATATATATATATATATATATATATATATATATATATTAGGGTGGTTCAAAAAACAACATTTTTGAAAAAATTCTGCTCCTAACCCCTAAATGTGTTCTATTTAATACAAAAACACTAGGTTTAATTTTTTTTTGAATAAAAAATATTTTTAGGGGTGCCGCCAGACCCTCGAATATTTACCGGGTCCCTAATATTTTCAAAAAAAATGTTTCTCAAAAATAGGTCAACCTGGTACTCAAATGAAGTGAAATTATATAAAAATTTCAAAAATAATATTCATTTAAATAAAATATTGTTATATTAAGTTTTATTACATAAAAAATCATGATTTTTAGCAAAAAATAAAAAAAGTGAATTTTGCATGATAATTTTGATAAATAAAATTAAACATCAATTTATTTTTTAAAATGAATATTATTTTTGAAATTTTGAGAAACATTTTTTTTGAAAATATTAGGGACCCGGTAAATATTCGAGGGTCTGGCGGCACCCCTAAAAATATTTTTTATTCAAAAAAAAATTAAACCTAGTGTTTTTGTATTAAATAGAACACATTTAGGGGTTAGGAGCAGAATTTTTTCAAAAATGTTGTTTTTTGAACCACCCTAATATATATATATATATATATATATATATATATATATATATATATATATATATATATATATATATATATATATATATATATATATAATTAAAAAGTTTACAATACTAATAATAACCAAAAAATTAAATAATAATTATTATTATTTATGAGAAAATTAAATTTATGACTATATTTAATTTTTTTATGATAAATAATTATTCTTCTTTAATTTGTAACTATTTTTTATTGATTTTAATTTTAGGGAGGCATTGTTGTCTTTTCTGTTATGCGACAGCAAGTGACATGAAATTTGGTGAGCATAAAAGTTCTGAAATAAAAGATCGTACCTTAGAAGATCTGTTTTTGGACCATGAAAGATTTATAGAAAACGGAGGTTTAAAGAAAAATGCAAAAAATTTCAATAATGTCATCACAGAGCCAATTTTGAAAATACCACTAGATCAAGTAATGTTTTTTTATTTGTCGTATTAATTTTGCAGTACGGCTAAATAAAAGTAGATTCATTATGCACTTTCAATATATATTTTTAGGTATCTTTACCTAGTCTCCATATGGCTCTTGGTATTTATTTGAATTTTTTTAATTTGTTTGAAGAAGAAGTCCATCAATTGGACATTTTGATTGCTGCAGAAGCAGTCAAAAGCAACATCAACTTTTCGGAAGAATATCCAGTTTTCGTATCAAAACAAAAACAACTGTTAAATCTTCAAACTGAAATTCTTAACCTCGACAATCAAATTCAATTAATCAATGATTTTATTTTGTTAGCTGCTGTTAACAATTCAGATAATTTAGAAAATATTCAATCTCTATACTTTACAGAAATTGAATTACTTAATGGTGAAAAAGCAAAAAAGGTTAAACAATTTATTAGTTTAATTAATTTGATATTATGTTTTATTGATTTCATAATTTTTGTTTCTTATTATTTTTATATTATTATGTGTAGTGAAATTTATTTAAAATAGAGTTTGTGTTTGTAATTGATTTGGTATGCATTAAACAGTTTTGCAAGCATTTGGTATGGTGCAATTTAATTGTAGAAAACAGCTTAATATAAGCATTATTAATAATAGCAATTTTGTAAACTGTTTATATGTGTGCACATATAAACAGTTTGCAAACCAGGGTTTAAAAAAACCAGTGTTTTAAATGTCATCCCTGTCACACACAATTTTGCCTTTGTTGTTATGGAATGAATAATATTATAATTTTTGCTGCTATGCAAGTATTGTTGGTTTATGTTATTCTATTTGAAGTTTTTTTTAGACAAATATATATAATACTCTGTTTGGGAAACATTCCTTTGAATTGGGTCAAAGACCATGCACAAAGATGATCGAGACGGTACTGCAAAAGCTTAAAGTACAACGTCAAGCTTACCACGGAAAAAGTTTTATAGGAAACCATGTGCATAAAATGCTAAAAGTAATTTAATTAAAGATTAGTATAAATAAAAAAAAATTACTAGTAAGTAAATAACAAATTAGGTTTTTACTGGATAAATAATAATTTATTATCTATCTTTCATGAGTTATTTTCTTTACTTTTAATGCAGATGTTGTTATAAAAACAAATGAATTTAATGTAATTACAATGAATAAGACAATAAATAAATAAGTCATTTAACCTTATATAAATCTTTTAAAAGCAACAAAATCAAAAATTTTTATTAAATTAATAATTAATTTTAACAGGTTAATCCATTTTATTTTTAATTATTAAGTTAATTAAACATAAAAAACGGGCACAATAGCAAAATAGTTCATATCGCATTTTGATTATAAACTTATAATATATCTAAACTGTCTCTTAACAAGACTAGTAAAGTATATTTGTTATTTAGAAATCTTCAATACTTCAGCTATGCAACTGCATCCCGAAGCTTGTTCACGAGGAAGGATATTCAGGAACAAGCGTATTCTCAAATCCCATTACCAAAAGACAAATCCAGAAAATATGCGTCTTAAGCCATGTTTAAAAAAAAAGAAAAGAAGTTAATAAGAAAGTTATTTTAATATCTCTGATTCCGCTGAGAAAGAAGTATCAATTTGTCAATAAAAATATTTCTAATGATCTGGTTTTACCAAAGTCATAAAATTCATGAACCAAAATAAAGAAAGAAGAAAAAACGGCTATTTTCATAGCCACAAGCATAATAAAGGCATTATTTGGTATAAAATAATTTTTGTTATAGGTAATACATATATATCACCCCTGCTA